CTATTGCACAGCAAGTAAGATGGCCCTATGACCACGGTTCCATAGTTTGTATCATATAGTACGTCATCCAGAAGAAGCCAGCCTCAAAGAAGCTGGAACTGCCTTCTAAATGCATACCTGAATCACCAACTCAGTGACAACTCTGACTGGATGTGGTGCCATCCTTAAGATGCAGCACATGCTTACATCAAAAACTTTTATATGGGGCTAAGTCTGCAATAAGAAGAACATGTAGGTTTAGAAACAAAGGGAGTTGGAAAACATGAATGGCCCCACTTACTGTCATTTCCAGTGATTCAATCACAATAAGGAACTTCATATTTCCTATTTTGCAATTCTTGGCATTGCAGAGATGTATTACTGCAACTAAATAAGATTTTATTTAAGCTAACTAAATAAATTATTTAAGTGGGAAGTCCTGGTCTCCAAAGGATATGCACTTTTGCCAGGAGACACAAGTATTACCCTGAACAAGACGTAGACGCCACTAGGACACTTTGGAGTTCTGGTGCCCAGGAACCATGAAGTCAACATACTAACTGTGATAGTTGACCCTAATCCGCTGGAGAAGGTAGTGTTGTGTTCACACAATTAGGACAGGGAGAATATATGTGGAATCTAGATGATCTACGTGGGTATCTTGGCATTTCCTTGCCTCCTGATCCCAGTGCCCTATGATACACGCGGCTGTCACTGTCTGAAAAGGGAATGGTATGATTGCCAAGGGCTTACATTCCTGAGGACTGAAGGTTTGGGTTATACTACCCAGCCACCAAGGCCTTAAGAGACGATAGCTGAGGGCAAGGGGAATTTAGAATGAATAGTGGGTTAGAGAGAGGAGGAATAGCATTTGTGGACCTGAGACCAACTGCAGCCTCAGAGGCTATTATTTATCCTACTAACTACCCTCATTTATATTTTTCCTCAGAAAGAGAGGCCCACAGGAACCATACAGGAGCTGTCCCATGAACCTGCTTGGAGAAACAGATCTCTGTGGTGCAAGGGGTAGATTATAATGGCCATGAAAAATGGACAGTTCAGATCTCCTGCTGTGCCTAGGCAGCTCACAGCCAATGACCACGCGTGGTATGAGTCCTAATGCAGGACCATTCTGGAGAGATGTGGAACTCCTTTAACAAGAGATTTGGACTGCAAACTGCCCATCAGCCTGGCCAAAACTTTATTAGAATGGCACTTCAGAATGACACCCTTCCTACCCAATCCTTTCATTCCTGTGCCCCTCTCCTTCCTAGTTGTGGGAAGGAAAGATCTCTCTGCCTTCTCCTGCTCTCACCCTCTATCCTTCACAACAAGTTTCTTGCACAGAAATTTCTGTTTTGATGTCTGCTTCTGAAGACCTCAACAAACATATGAATCAACTATTGTTATTTTTATCTGAAGTTTTATTTCTTCCATAAACATAAAGACCCTGGGGATAAGGTTAGGATATTTGGATCCAAAACTCATCATATACTCATGGCACTAAATCACAGGAAATTCTAAAATTTCTAGCAGTATTTCTGGTAATCCAAATAATATTTATAAAAGTGTGTGTGCACGTGTGTGTGTAGGTCCTTTGTTAAACCCTTGTACATTTGTGATTTGGGGCAGAAGAATTCTTTGCTTTAGAAACTATCTTGGTTCTATAATTTTTTTAAAATCCTGTCTTTTTTCTGTTCAAAAGGCAATACATATTCTTTTTTTAAAAAAAACAGTGACAGTAAAAAGTTAAAAAAAATAAGCTAAGTAGTGACTAAGGAAAGAGTAAAAGTCAAGGGTATCTATACTGATGAAAGAATTTTTAGGGCCGGGCGTGGTGGCTCATGTCTGTAATCCCAGCATTTTAGGAGGCTGAGGCAGGTGGATCACCTGAAGTCAGAAGTTCGCGACCAGCCTGGTCAAATTGGTGAAATCCCGTCTCTACCAAATATACAAAAACTAACCGGGCATGGTGGCAGGTGCCTGTAATCCCAGCTACTCGGGAGGCTAAGGCAAGAGAATTGCTTGAACCCGGGAGACAGAGGTTGCAGTGCGCTGAGATTGCGCCATTGCGCTCCAGCCTGGGCAACAGAGCGAAACTTCATCTCAAAAAAAAAAAAAAAAAGAATTTTTAAAATTCAGCAATAAAAGAGAAATGAATTACTGACACAATAACATGGATAAACCTCAAAAATATTATAAGAAGGCAGGCACGAAAGGTTATATTCTGTATGACTCCACTTATTTAAAATTCTAGAAAAGTACATCTTACCTATAGTAACAGAAAGCTCTTCAGTGATTTTCTGGAGCCGGGGGCACTGACTGCAAAGGGGCAAAAAGAATTTTGGGGTATCAGAAATGTTCTTTGACTGAGGTGGTGGTTCCATGTGTGTGCATACTTCTATCAAAATTAATTGACCTACATACTTAAAATGGCATATAAATGTATTTTATATATAAATTATGCCCTGGTAAAGTTGATTTTTTAAAAACACATGATTTTCAATTTTGGAAGAAACTTGGGTCAAAATATTCTTCTTCATCCAGGCCACCATCTTTTCTTACCTACATTTTGCAATACCATCTGACTGTATTCCCTTATGGGGATAAAGCTTCTTTCCAAGCTGTTCTTCACTCTGCAGCCAGGCTGATGTTTCTGAAAGAAAATATGATTATGTCAGCCCCAATAACCCCTTCTTCTTCAGTCAGGGTTGACTCAGAGAAATAGAACCACTAAGACAGATATAGATATCTGTTACAGGAATTTGACAGTTTGTGTAACCACACAATTGTGAGAACAGGTTAAAGTTTCTGTAATGCAGTTATGTTCACCTGTTATCTTCTGATGATGGAGTTTGAAGTCCACAGGGCAGGCCGTTGGGAAGGGAAGATGGATGTAAATTCCAGTAACAAGATGGAATCCACAAAGTGACAGAAAGAAATCTGTCAGTTCTCATGGCCTCTGACTTTGGTGGTATGGCGCAGAAGGTCAGGTCCTTCATTATCATGGAACTAAACACACACCTGGTCCAGGAGTCAGGGAAACTGACAGAGGATCCAGGGAAAGGTGAAGCAGTTGAAGGCTCAGCCAGTCTCACACCAAGATGAGCTAACAGATAAGCAACATGCATGAGCTACAAAATAGCTGCTGCTTCACTTCCATCCTCCAAATCTCCCACAAGAATTTCTTACGGCCCACCCTAACCAAGAACGTACAATAAAGGGAATGCTGTGAAATGCGGTCAGCCTAGCCAAACCGACACATTACAAAGCCATCACACCATCCCAAACCTTAAATGGCTTCCTATCACCCTCACTGCCTTGAACAAAACTTGTAGTTATTTGTGACCTGCCTTTCCAGATTTTCTGCCATTATTTCCTAATCCATCTCAGGGTATACGTACCTATGGTTAGTACAAATGTTCTGACTTCTAAACCTTCCCACATTGAATTCTCTAACTGCAACACGCTCCCTTCTCTATCTTCTCCCTCAACCTGGCTAAGACCTCTTCACCCTTACAGCCTCAGCTTCCTTTAGGAAACGTTCTCTGACATACTCTCTTCATCACTGGTGACCAGTACAAAATCAGGTCTATGTTAGCAACCAACAGACTTCAGTTGAATGAATAAATGTGTGCTCATGAAAATTAAAACCGATTTTAGTTATATGAACACACAGCTGGAGCCTTTGGCATAAAGGGGATAAAGTACTATAGTCAAAGTCAGTGGGTAGGCAATGTGTCCAGTCTATTGCCATGTGGGAAACTCTATTCATTTCAGCAGAAATACATACATCCTGTTTATCCCCTATTCACTCTATACCATTGATATATAAATCCCCACTACAACATAAAAGTCCTTAGTTTGAGTTGCCCAGAAAGCAGAACCTGAGAAAAAGCGGTTTGTTTGGGAGGTGATTTGTGGGAACAAGATTAAAAATCAGGGAGGATGGGAAAGGGAAAATAAAAGCCAGTGAACGAGTGTTAGAGCTAGCTAATACTGTGGGTAACTAAAGCTCTGTTTCACTGGGGACCCTGGGAAGAACTGTGGAGAACCACAGATACCCTTCTGAAAGGAGGCTGAGGCACTTAGCCACCAACTGTCCTCATCCCTCACTGGTTGAGGATTGCCTCTGGGGAATATGTTCCCTTCCCTCTACCAACACTTCCAGGCTGCTGGGGATGAACAAGATCCCTTGGCTTTAGAGAAAACAAGGCAGAGAGGTAGAGGGACCACCAACACATGTAGTAGGATGTTGGGAAAACATAGGAAACTAGCAAAGCTTCAAAAAAGTTAGAGGAGAGCCAAGGGGACGTGGTCCGAGTCTCGAACAATTTCTGCTCCACGTCCCAAAGATTTTTTATCTCCATTAATCACTAGGTGCCAACATAAAGACAAAAAGAATAAGAAATGTCAAATCAATTTCAGTTTCTTCTTTCAGAGAACTGATGGCTTGGGAGTTTAGAGAAATTTCATTATACTGAATTACAGTATGAATAATATGAAGAAAAGAGGGCTAGGTGTTTAAGGAGTAAATAGATCATTACTGGCTGACAGTTTTACTCAAAGAATGCTGATGCAAACTTTGTTATATTCCTTCCTATGTATTGTATGGAAATGGTATGCCTGGAGTTCTATAGTATAGCAACCCTGCCTAGCAAAGAGGACTTGAAACGGACAGGAGCAGTTCAAATGTTACAGAAAATTGTTTGACCCAAAGTATTAGGAAAATATAGATCCATGGTTCTCATAGGGGTGGGGTACGGCGGTTATTTTGTCCCCCAGAAAACATCTGGCAATATCTGGAAACACTTTTGGTTGTCACAACTGGGGAAGAGAGTGCTATTGGAATAGATTAAGAAGAGATCAGGATGGCGTTAAACACCCAACAATGTACAGTACAATCCCCCTTTTCCTGACGAAGAATCATCTTACCCAAATATTAATAGTGCCAAGGTTGAGAAACCCTAACACAAAGGATATCTGGGTATCAATGTATAAGTATATAATTTCTTCACATAAAACATTTAAAAATCAGTATTTAATTACAAATGATTTGTTCTACATTCCAGCAATACAAAGTGTTGCATTAGTACCACCAAAACCAAAGGAATTGGTGAGGCCAATAAATCTTTTCTCAGTTTTCCATTCCTGTGCCTTTAGTGGAACATAGTTGAGATCAAATTCTGGTTCTGTACAATCCAGGTTTAAAGTAGGTGGTAGTTTTTGATAATAACAAGCTAATGTGGTAAAAGCTGCCTCGGCCGCCCCTGCAGCTCCCAGCAGATGTCCTGTTGCTCCCTTAGTTGAGGAAACTGCAAGGGCATATGCATGGTCTTTGAAGAGATGTTTGATTGCTTTGTTTTCAGCAGCATCTCCCAATGGTGTGGAAGTAGCATGTGCATTTATATAGGATATCTCTTCAGGCTGTAAACCTGCATCTTTTAAAGCAGCAGCCATACACCTAATAAAACAAGAAAAGACATCAGGACTAAGTTTAATTTTAACAAAAGTCTCTTTATCTGTATGGTTTATGTGAAACAAATGTAGGTATCCAAGTACACTGGATGAAAAGAATCCCTTGTTCTAGTAACGGAATGCTATCTTGGATTACCATGTGAGTTAGGATGTCATCTCTATGGGAATAATGAGTCACACTCACTACCTTGGACTGGTTCATCACCAAGAGTTAAACACACAAGCCAATGCAAGATTGTATAATCTCAAATAAAATATAATTTCATTTATTCGCATTGGCATTTTTCCTTGGGGAAAAAATATCATCTTGACTCAAGACTAGAATAATTTTTCTTCCAGGGATTTTTGGAGTGTGGCAATTTTTTATCAGAATTATAATTATGATTTTTCTTTCACATTTAAATTTAAAACTTGGCATACTTCCCAATAATCTACTGTTTCATTGTTTCAAATAACCTTTCAAAATCCTCTTTATTTAGGCCATAAGAATTCTAAACAAAAAATTACAAAGGCAATCTAAGCCAAACAAACCTAACAGTAAAAAAATATATCTGAAAGAACCTCTGAAAACGTTTTGGATGTCATCTTCCTTTAGTTCCTAAGAGAAATATACACGTACGTATGTGTGTTTGTGTGTATATATATTTCTTAACAGCCAGCTCAGGGTATAATTTGAAGTACGCTGAAAGGTTTCCTGTGAACATAACCATTTCTTCATCTATTTTGTTACTATGCTTGACATTTTTAGCACCAGCAACTACTCACTAAAATTCAAAAGTAGGCCAGGCATGGTAGCTCACGCCTATAATCCCAGCACTTTGGGAGGCCAAGGCAGGACTGCTGGAGGCCAGGAGTTTGAGACCAGCTCTGGCTCTGGCAACATAGCAAGACCCCAACTCTATTTAAAAAAAAAAGAAAAAAGAAAAACAATCAAACAAAAACAAAATAAAAATTCAAACATATAATTTAGGGGTAGGTAAACTATGGCCCTGGCTAGATGCCTATTTTTGTAAATAGTTTTCACTGGAACACATTCATGCCTACTCATTTACATACTGTCTACGGCTGCTTTCACATGACAATGGCAGATGGATTAGTTGCGACAGACTCCATGGCCCACAAAGCCAAAAATATTTACTATATTTTTCCCATTACAGAAAAGGTTGCTAAATCTGGCTAATTTAACTAAGCAAAACATAATATGATTTAATAATAGCTATTAGCTATCTATTAACACATTATCAGGGACTTTTTTTTTTCATTTTAAAAGCACTAATCTATAACAGTTAACTTAAATGTAGTCCTTAAACCAGCAGTATCACCATCACCTGTTAGAACTACAGAATCTCCCAGTCTGGGAAATAAAGTGAAACCCCATCTCTACAAAATAAAAAAAAAAAACTGGTCTCAGTGGTGCATTCCTGTAGTCCCAGCTACTCAGGAAGCTGAGGTGACAGGATTGCTTGAGCCCAGGAGTTAGAGACTGCAGTGAGATAAGACTAGCATAAGCAATAAAGAGAGACCCTGTCTCTAAAAAAACAAAACAAAACAGAATCCTAGACCTACAGAATCAGAATTAGCATTTTAAATAAGATCCCTAAGTGATTATAGTTTGAGAAGTGCTGATTTGAAAAGAACAGAATCCTGTTGAAATGGAGCAAAGACCAGACACATCTAGAAGGGTTGACTTTACTTTCCAAGTCTGATGAAGGGTCAAAGAAGAGGACTTTGTGAGGGAGCACACTGATGGTTAAGCACAAATGGAGGCGTGAAAAGTTGGCAAAGGCACACATGGTCTTTTTCGCAACTCCATTGGTTTTAACTCAAATGCAATTTTGTAAGGATGTTCAAATGCTTTGAAATACTTCAAATATCTTAAGCAAAGAATTAAATAATCTTGTTTAGTCTAAAAATTAAAACAATAGAGATTTGGTACACCAAGGCCAGACACTACAATTTTCCCTAATTTGGGACTCCCAATAAAGTGTCTTATTTGGAGAAATATTTTGAAGGAAATAACCCATTTTTACCTTAAGGCACCTTCTCCTTCAGGATCAGGGGCAGTTATGTGACCAGCATCACCTGAGAGTCCATAGCCCAAAACTTCTGCATAGATCCGGGCTCTTCTTTGAACAGCATGTTCATATTCTTCCAGCACCAGCACAGCTGCACCTTCTCCCATTACAAAACCATCTCTCTTTGGATGAAAAGGTCGACAGGCCAACTTGGGATCTGAGTTTGTGCTCAGAGCCCGGGCTCTGGAAAACCCAGCAAGAGATAAAGGGCTAATACAAGAATCTGTACCTCCAGCCACCATCACATCAGCATCACCACGGGCTATAAATCTAAAAGAGTCTCCCACAGCATGAGCTCCTGTGGTACAGGCTGTGGATACCGCATGATTTGGGCCCTTGAGTTTATATCGAATGCTGACCTGGCCTGCTGCCATATTGATCAGAATCTTAGGGACAAAAAATGGGCTAATTCTATTGTAACCTTTTGTCTGAAAATTCAAAGCAGTTTCAGAAACAACTTCAAGAGGAATCATTCCCATGCCAATTGCAACACCAGTAGCTACTTGATCAGCTTCTGACTGAGGATGCCAGCCAGAATCCTTCATGGCTAATTCTGCAGCCCCAATGGCCATGATGGTGGGAGAAGACATGGACTTGATATCTGATTTGGACACAAAGTTTTGTTCATTGAACTGACCTTCATCACTGCCTCTTGGCACATAAGCAGCAACACTGCAAGGGATACTCTTATACTCTTCACCAACCAGTGAAACAATTCCACTCTCTCCTGCGATAAGACGATCCCAAACCAAGTGAGTTCCAACACCAAGAGGAGTCACTAAGCCAATACCGGTAATGACAACTCGCCTATGCAATCTGAATATTGGCTCAGTTCCGAAAAACTTCCTTTTACTTCTTGTTACCTGTTGGCATAATCTTGAACACAGAAGACGAGTGCTTGTAATTTTCAGGAAATTTTGCAGGCAATTGGACATGATTGAGATTCAGATGATCAGAAATACATTCCTGTAAAAGACCACAACACACCTAGGAGGTATTCTTTTAAATAGCTTAAGGGCCTAAGGAAAGACATCCAAGGTGTTCCTTTGGGTGCTTGATATGAGCTGCTAACGAACACAGGGAAAATGTTACATAATTTCAATTTATACTTTAACATCAAACTACCTGTTTAAACTTATCTCCTTTTCTAGACTGTAAGTGCCCTCAGACATTTGAAGACAAATAAATGAATTGATGATTCATTCGATTCACCAAAACAGTAATTCAATGAAAAATATAAAGGCATCTCCAGCCTGATACGAATTGCAGGAAGCATCCTTTGTCAGGATTACTGATAACTTCTCCTAAATAGCATTTCTGGTGTCAGTGGCACAGAAAACACATTTCAGGGCATATTCCCTTAAGTAAGTGGGCTTTATCAATCTTCAATAATTAAGGATAACGAGCCTTTTCAAAACGCCACCCAGGGCCAAGAGCCCTAGACTGAGCGTCTGGATACGTGGGTTGGCAACAGACTCTGTGTCCAAGCTTGCGACTGGGGGAAGGGGGCGAGTCTTTCCACCCCTCTAAACTTCTCCAATTGAATCATCTGTGGAAGGAGGGGTTAGGACTGGTGGATCACTTCAAGGGTACCACAAAGGCCAGGGGCGGGAGTAATAGGGCGTAGTCACTCCCTGTACTGCCTCTCAGTCACCACCACACATGTACACAACTGAAGCAGCATGGCGACAGAAAAAGAAATCAGGCCCTAAGTCCTCGGACTCCCCTCTCGAAACTCAACCCCGACTTGATTTGACTGTAAAGGAGGAAAGGAGGGTCGAAGGAGGAGGGTAGCGAGCGATACCTGTAACACGTTTACAGCTCCAGACACACTCGCCACTGTCCTAGGCGATGACGCGCTCGAGCGCACGCGCACGCGCACGTACGCTCATGCGCGCTCCCGCGCACGCTTCCCGTTCGACTCCCCTTCCGCCGATTGGCTTTACGCCGCGTCACCTTGGCGGAGGTCAGACCTTGGGAGGCGGCTGGGTGGCTGTTTTCCTTAGCAGAGACGCTTCTCTCGGAACCTCAGTGACTCACCGATAATCAAGGACCTGCAAATAACGCGATGAGATAGCATTTTCACCCATCAAAAAGGCATTTTTCTTTGGCAGTGATAGTGCCCAAATATTCCTTTTTGTCGGTGAAGGGACACCATCGTATTCTACTGGAATTGTAAGAAAGAATTAAGGAAATGACTGCAGTCACAAAGTTATTGCTATAGCTCGCAACGTTATTAGTAATTGTGAGTAAAGTAGAACTAACCAAAATGGCCAACATCAGGAAAGTTGTTGTGTATCTTGTGGTACATCCAAATGCCATGCAGCCGTTTAAAATAACTCTACAGGTGAATATTAATGAGATGTTGAGACTATTTGTTAGGAGACATAGTTACAAAACAGTATATATCCGTTTTTTCAAAAATAATTCTTTAAAGAGCTGCAAGATGTATAATGATTGTGATCTTTCCCTCATTTTTGCTTAGCTTTATTTAATAAAGCTTTTCTACAATAAACAAATGTTTTTGTAGTAAAGTTTTTACTTTTTAAAAGTTGTCACCAGGCTGCTCTGCTTATGGAGTAGTCACTCTTTGTTCCTTTACTTTCCTAATAAACTACTTTCACTTAAAAAAAAAATTATCACCGGATTCGAGACAATACTTAAAAATATCACACCCATTGTAACACTGGAGACATTTGTTTCTAAGTGTCTGAAAAATTCATTAACTGTTTGCACAGAGCGGATTGCAAATCGATAAAGGGAAAATACAACATGAAAACGTTAAAAAAGCAAGAAGTCGACAAGATGGTATTCATTGAACATCTGTTTTTCACATGCTATCCCAGGCGTGAGTTTAGTCCTTGCTCTTCTTTAGAAAAATGGTTGACCATAGACTCTTCATCTGGACCTTCTAGTCATATTTATGTTTCTTTCTGGGCAATGCCTCTTGAAGCCATTGTTTCCAAGTAGAGTCCTCTGCATTCTTTCCTACCCCTACAGAAGAATGTGAGTCAAGCTTAGCTTTTCCAGGTTGGTCCTGGATTTAAATGAGTTTGGAAATCTATTTTGTTTAAAATAATTCAGCAAAGTCCAGTTTGACCTTCGTCCTAGGCCTAATCAGTCACCTCTAGTATGATCCTCATTCAGTGACAAATAGAGTTACTTTAAGAAGAATTAGGCCGGGCGCGGTGGCTCAAGCCTGTAATCCCAGCACTTTGGGAGGCCGAGACGGGCGGATCACGAGGTCAGGAGATCGAGACCATCCTGGCTAACACGGTGAAACCCCGTCTCTACTAAAAAATGCAAAAAACTAGCCGGGCGCGGTAGCGGGCGCCTGTAGTCCCAGCTACTTGGGAGGCTGAGGCAGGAGAATGGCGTGAACCCAGGAGGCGGAGTCTGCAGTGAGCTGAGATCTGGCCACTGCACTCCAGCCTGGGCGACAGAGCAAGACTACGTCTCAAAAAAAAAAAAAAAAGAAGAATTAAACACGTGTTATAAAAAAACTAACACTTGATGAGTAAGTACCTAAACTTGATCTCTTTTCATTGCTGTTTTTAAAATAATAGCGTGAAAATACCTACAATATTTTTTCTGAATTCATATGAAACATACAATTTTAATGTGCTATTTCTTTTGTAATATCACAAAATTATCTTGGCTAAGAGGTGACAAATTAAAATCTTTCAAAAAAGTAAAAAGACCATCATTTTTGTATCTACCTCATCACCTTTTCTTTGATCTGGAAAAGGGTGGGAAATTTTATATTTTATAGCTTTACATATTTGGTACTGTATTTCCTGCTACAATCCCATGGTGTCTTCTTGCACCAAAATCTTCAAATGGGCTCTGCTTATCCTACCCTCCTATTAAGACTTTTTAGGTCTGCCTTACATTCTTTGTAATCTGATTCAAAACTATCTTTCCAGTTATGGCTCCCATTCTCTATTGAGCTTTCCACCCAGCAAACTGATTTTCATACTATACATGTCTTGATTGACCCTAACTTTTCTCATCTCTGTACTTTTGGTATTTTCAACAACCATTCATTTTCTTCCTATCGATGCTTGAAGTTTGAATGCAAAAATGAGTAGAGGTATGGCTCTTGCTTTCGAGAAGTTCATGGTCTAATAAAGTTCATGGTCAACCCATTAGAAACAAGTAAGTGCAAACTATTGAAACAGGTGCTGTAGCGGAACTATTATAACACAAAAGGGACAATGAGGTCTGTGCTACCTTGTAACATCAGAAAAGGCTTCAGAGAAATGATCCTTGAACTGCATCTTGGAAATGAATATTTGTCTAGTAAATTGGGTGGGAAAGGGCATCCTGGCAGGAAGAGTAGAACAAAGGCCTGGAGAAATGAAGTGTCATGGTATCTTCCACAAACAGCTAAGTATGTGGCCCATGTCAAATTTGAAGTGTGGGACAAAGCAACAGTAAAAGCATGAGAGTAAGGCAGGCCCAGTCACAAAAGCCTGGGGTATCATACTGAGGACTTTGGATTTAATCCTGTAGTTCAGAGAGCATATGCTAGACTCTGCTAGCATAATTTGGAGTGCAACATTCTTTTATTGATTCTAAACTCCTCTAGAAAGGACATGGTAAACTCTCTCATTCCCTTCACCGGAGTCTCTCTTACTCCTCTTTGTCTTGAACAAAGCCACTTAAAATATTTAAGTTACCAGCCTGGTTCCTGACACCATTTGACTTTAGAATGTGGGTAGAGGGAGCCATAGAAAACTTTTTACCAGGAGAACAACATGATCAGATGGCTGCTTTAGAAAGATCATGTTGCACAAATGAGCAGGGTGGATTGGAAGGATGTGGAAATGGACACAGGGAAGAAAGTTAAGAATGGATGCAACACGATGAGGCTCTGAGGACAATGGCGAGGAGAGATGTAGGAGATACTGAGAAGGAAACATTACTAGGATACTGTACATGATTTAAGGAGGGTGGGGAGTCTCTCACAGCTGGCAAGTCCTCTCCTTTCTCACCTTCTCAATCTCTCAATTTAAGGCCTCTGTTCAAATTGTCCCCCCTCACTGAAACTGCAGCTCTCAATGAAATTTCCCTCCCTCTGAACTAGTAGTTCTCAAAGTTTCCTGTGTATCAAAATCACCTGAAGGGCTTGTTATCACACAGATTGCTGGGCCCCACCTTTAAAGATGGAGCTTCAGAATTTGTTTTCCTGACAAGTTTCCTGCTGATGCTGCTGTTGCTTGTCCAACCACTGCTCTAAACCTATGACTTCTATGAAAGTAGGGACCATAGTTGTCTCCTTCACAGTGCTGAGCAACTAGCAGTCACTTCATAAATATATGATGAATAAGTGAATTATGGAATGAATAAATCAACATTTATCCTTATATTTGAGAGTACACATGCACCTTTTGTGCATATCTCACCAAATGACTTTTGCGAAAACCAATGCCATAGCATTAATATTGTGATAAAAATGTACAGTCCATAAAATCATAGAAATCACCATTTTAAAAAAATCATCTGAAATTTAAGTCCTTCCAAATAACTCTTCAGTAACACTTCCGTTAAAGTTCTTGAGTAACTATAATCTCTTTTGAATACCGCCATTTATAAAGCTATTAAGGGAATCCATTATAATAAGGGACTTTGTCTCTCATTTTCCTGGCTGCTTCCTCCACTTCAGTCAAGTTGGAGATACTCTAATTCTTCCGTTTCCTTTAGAAAAGTTGAGTAAGTTACCCTACCTTTTATACCCATCGTTGTTTCAAACAACCAAAGAATGGTCTAGTACTAAATCAGCATTGAAATTCTTGTTCATTTTATTTTATTTTATTTATTTATATTTATCCCAAAATAAAGATATTTTTTTCCAGGATTTCACCTTTATTAAAAACATCATTTTTAGAGTTGACATATCATGGCATTATTCTTTTTTTTTTCCTTCTTCTTTTTGAGAGAGAGTCCTGCTCTGTGGCATAGGCTGGAGTGCAGTGGGGCGATCTCAGCTCACTGCAACCTCTGCCTCCTGGGTTCAAGCGATTCCCCTGCCTCTCTACTTTCATGGTCAAATGGAAAATGACAAATGGGTCCACGCTTACTGTGGGCACCCCTTTAGCCTACATGCTTCCCAGTCCCTCTCTCATCTTCGGGAGTCTTCCCTCCTCTGGGAGGGGCTTCGGCTGCGGGCCTCTCCCCTCCTGCCTCTCAGCCTCCCAAGTAGCTGGGACTCCAGGCGTGCACTACCGCGCCTGGCTAATGCTATTCTTTAATAAAACAGAAAAAAGAACTCTCTAAATTTTTCCCAGGATTGGTTTGGTGATACTAAAAAGTTAACCTCCATAAAAACCATTAGCAAGGAGAGGGGTTGAAGTCTTTCAGGAATTTGTATAGGGATTCACTATTGTGTGACTACATTAAGTGATTAACCAACAACTCTTTATTCAGAACCTGCTGTGTGCAAAGCAGTCTGAGACAGGTGGCACAAGAGACTTTTAATCAAATAGGGAAGACAAAACTAATGATAACTTCCAATGAGATAGCGTTTTAGTTGAGGAAACAAACTATTATGAAGAGAAAAACAAGTCATTTTGTTCCCCCACAAAAGTACCCTATGACCATTCTATCTGTCAGAGGGAAGCCTGAGCTAGCAGCTTTCTGCCCTTTACTTGACACCTCTGCTTCAATACCAGAGCATTTCCACTTTGGTGTTTTGTATATAGACAATCTTCCTATTTTTTTTTTTGGTAGAGATAGGGTCTTGCCATGTTGCCCAGGGTGGTCTCGAACTCCTGGGCTCAAGCGATTCACCTACCTCAGCCTCCCAAAGTATTGGGATTATAGGCATGAGCCACCATGTCCAGCCCCTAAATTTTTATTTGAAAAAAAAAAAAAAAGTTCTGTTGCATTTAAAAAAGTCACAAATACTGTATAATATATATTATTCTCATATAATTAGTAAAGTATAAATAAATGTATCAATGGAAAAAAGAAACCCAAATGAAGAGGAATAAAGTTTGTGATAGCTATATCCCCAGACCCAAGCCCCCAATCCATTGTGTAGTTGTAGGAGACAACATTTCCCAGACTCTCCCCTTTTATCTTTTGATGTTTTTTTAAATTTTAATTTTAATTTTTTGTAAATCTGGCCTTACTGAAATACCCTCTTTTATCTTGATGAGGCCTCATTCTTAGCAATGATATGGTAGAGAAAATGCTGTATGTCATTTCTCGGCTTATGTGGTTAAAAGTAGGTGTGACGGGTTTGTTTTTTTTTTTTTGTCCCAGCAGGCTGCCTGGATTTGTAAATAAAATTTCACTAGAACATAACCATGTCCATTTATTTTCAAGTATTGTCTGTGGAGCTACCACTGTAGAGGCAGAGTTAAATAGTTGAGACAGACCTTATGGCTCACAAAGCCTAAAACACTTAAACTATGTGGCCCTTTACAGAAAAATGTTTCTTGACCCCTGTTCTAAGGGATGGAAGGAGACTGGGTCCACTGACATTATGACACCTGCATTATTAAACTGTTATATGAGCCAGAAAGAAATTACTCTTGTGTTAAGCCACTGAAAATTTTAGTTACAGAAGCTAGCAACATACTACTATCTGTTGAACACATCATACTTGGAAGCTGGTCCAAAGATCTACATATTTATTAAAAGCGTACGTATATCTGGGAGACGAATAGTCATTGAAGTGGATGGCATAGCTTAGGGTCTTGCTCGGAGATTCTGGAAGAAAATTTCAACTCTTAAAAGCAAACAGATGAAACATCAAGAAATGTAAAAGAAGTTATTCAGGCAAATCACTTATCTTAAGAAATAAAGTCAAGACAAATACTTGGTGAGGTTAAAAAGTAATTTCTGCAAAGAAGGAAGCCAGTGGTAAAGTACACTTTCAAGGACATGGTGGGGCAGAGACTGGATTAAAGTAGATAGGGATGCATCTTCTAAGAGGAATAAAAGACTTTGATCATATGATATACCTAAAAAACAAGTCACAAAATAATACTTACCCTTACTGTGTGGGATGCAAATTTTTATTTTCTTCCCTTCCCGCCCCCGACATTCTATAATATCGCGTAATTATTATGCATGTGTTTTACGCTGGTCACCACGCAGTAAAACCGAATCCACAACCCATTATTACGTTGCAACCTATGGTTTAAAAATACACTTCCTTACAGAGGAATCATATACTAGTTGAGCTGGGACTTAGATTTTCAGTCATTCGCCAAATTCTGAAAAGAATCCACGTAACAAACCCAGCAGAGTTTATAGCCATGGTTTTGGTTTTGACGTTTGTTGCTCCTTCCTTCTGGGGTCTTCCATCCACATCTATGTAGAACGTCCTGACAATCTGCGAAGTGAAGCCTCTGAGGTCGTTTTATTTGTGGGGAAAGGAGAGAGGTACATGCGGTTTCTCCACCTTAATAGGTGGATCGATTAGGCTGGCCCCGGGGCGCAGAGGGATCCGGGTTTCTGAGAGGCACGTGCCAGCACCATTCTCCCGGTACCTCTAGACTAAAGCCGACCTCCCCTCCAGCCGAGCTCATCCGTCCTAAGGACTCGACAACCCCCTCTTCCAGCCCCACGCCCCTCAGCCCCGGCGCCCAGGCCCCGCCCTCACTGCGGAACCCCTCCCCAACCTGTACGACCAGGCCCCAACCCTGGGTCGAAGCACCTCGCCCCAGCCGGCCGAGGCCCCCCACGTTGCTCCAGACAGCCCCTCGCCCCTCCCGAAGGGGCAGGAGTAACTCCCAGCCGAGCTGCCCTGCTCCCGCCCCAGGCCCCCGACCCCGCCCCTCCCGGTGGCTGCGGTAGCCGCTGCGCGCTGAAGCGCCTGCTCAGTGTGGGACACGGAGCGCGAGGGGCGGCGGCGGCCGCTGGCGCTCAAGCATGGCGGCGGCGGCGCTGGGCAGCTCCTCAGGCTCGGCGTCCCCGGCCGTGGCCGAGCTCTGCCAGAACACCCCGGAGACCTTTCTGGAGGCCTCCAAGCTGCTGCTCACCTATGCTGACAACATCCTCAGGTGCAGGGCAACGGGGTCGAACGGCGGGTACCGGGGTGGGTGGGCCGCGGCGCCTTGCTCGGCCAGGGACTGGGGGCGTCCGGCCTGAGCTTCGGAGGGCAGCGACGCCCGGACAGACCGGGACCTGGAGCTGGTTCTGCTCCTAACGTCCGAGCCCGCCAGCCGGGGGCCTCGGGACCCGGCCAAGTCCCACCCCCGCTGGAGAAGAGGAAGTTTCTTTGCAGTTGTGACTTGGCACCTGCAGTCAGGGTGCTGCGGGTGGACTGGAGTCCCGGAAGCGGGGCCGGGCGGAGGAGAGGTAGGAGGGCGTGCTGCAGACACTGCCGCTCTTCTCGTCGTTTAACGACCTCAGATATCAGGACACAACGGTAACCGCACCGCGCGTGTCATTCCCCCTGCGTGCATTTTTTCGAGCGGAGTGGCTTACATTTCCACATACTTATCAGAAGTTAGTCACTGAGAAAGTGATGTTTTCTTCCCATGTTGAGACTATCCGAGTACTAAAGCATAATGCTTCTGAAGTGGTGGGTTTTAAAATTTGTAATGTTTTCTTTTGCCCACTTTTGTTGATTGAAACATTATAGTATTTTGAAGTTATGGTTTTTATATTAATACCAGGACTCTACTATATAAACTCTTTAAGAATTCGTGGAGGTAATCGCCTTGGATGAGAGTAATTTGCTTCATTTTCCTGTCAGCAAAATTGCACTTCTAGAGGTCTAGGGGACCTTGTAGATTTCGGGAATTGGGAGGCAAGTTTGATTATTCATTTTGAATGAGGACCCACCTCAACTCTGCAGATCAAATGATGTGTCTTAACGGAGAGATATGGTGTTGGGGGAGGGAAATGGAACCGAGGTTAAAGGAGCGCCACTTGCTTTAGTGGTGTTACCTCATTTATCAGGTCACCGTGATTAATTAATTAGGTTCTCTGTTCCCCTCAGCCCCTGGTGCATTAAGTGGTTGGTAAATTATCATGAAGTCTAAGAGGAAATTCTTCTCAGTTTCAAGGTTATGTTTCATGTGACCCAATTTTAGACATTAGTTACATGTGCAGTCTTTAAAATCCATGTCAGTAATATTTCATTTAGGCAATGGTAATGATGTTTAAAGTAAATTGAAGGGAAAATATGTTGAGCCTTTATTTTGTGGCAGATGCCATGAAGGATGCAACATGTAGCCTGTTCACAGCTACATAATTGTGACCTGTGTGGGGACCACCTTCGTGCTCTGTGACACCTTCTCAACTCACCTTTTTCACCCTTTGAGGCCTTACAGCTCTTCACAGTACAAGGATGCCAAGGCACTCCATAAATGAACTGATAGGCTGGGTTCTCCAGAGCCCATTAGCTGGGACTTGCCGCCTGGAAAGCCACCAAGCTATTTAAACCCCACTAGTCAGAAAAAAGAGGTGCCCTTGTAATGAAGACTCACTTCTGCTTTAAATCTAGTGAAACCGAAAATGCTGAGGTTTAGCTTGAGGAGGAAACCTTTGCATGCAAATAATGACATTTAACATCATAATCTTCATTAGGAATGTTTACTAATGGCTTGTTTCTGATGTTTTTTTGGAGACGGAGTTTGCTCTTGTTGATGAGGCTGGAATGCAGCGGCGCAATCTTGACTCACTGCAACCTCCGCCTCCCGGGTTCAAGATTCTGAAAGATGAGGGGTGTGGCAATGAGCTCAAAGGATAGTGGACACACTGGAATAATGCTGAGAAGAGTTTAAGAAAGTCTTTGTGCGTTGCTTTTCCAGGGATAGGAAAGAGGATATGATGGATTTGAAGTCTAATGTCCCTACAGCCCTCTAAGTCTTTGAGGGCTTCAGGATCAGGCCTTTGGTATCAATCTATGCACAAAACCATGGTCAGTTTACTCAACATATTTAATAAGAAAAAAGATAGAATTTGAGGAACTGGATGTGACTGTCATTGCTGGACCCTGTTTGCAGTATTCTTTTACTGAGAAAAATAGATTAATGTGAGGTCCACAGATGATATAAAAATAAAATTGCTCACTGGGCACGGTGGCTCACTCCTGTAACCCCAGCACTGTGGGAGGCCAAGGTGGGCGGATTACTTGAGCTTAGGAGTTAGAGACCAGCCTGGGCAACATGGCGAAACCCCGTCTCTACAAAAAAAATACAAAAAACTAGCCGGGCGTGGTGGCGGGTGCCTGTAGTCCCAGCTACTCGGGAGGCTGAGGCAGGAGAATGGCGGGAACCCGGGAGGCGGAGCTTGCAGTGAGCTGAGATCCAGCCACTGCACTCCAGCCTGGGCAACGGAGCAAGACTCCGTCCCAAAAAAATAAAATTAAATTAAAAATAAATAAATAAATAAATAAAGTAAGTAAGTAAGTCAAGTGTGGTGGCAGACACCTGTAGTCCCAGCTATTTGGTGGGCGGAGGTGGGAGGATGGCTTGAGCCCATGATTATGCCACTGCATTCTAGCCTGCGTGGCAAAGTGAGACCCTTTCTCAAAATAAATAAATAAATAAATAAATCTCACTAGAAACTAAGGAGGAAAATCTATATTGTATATCAATAGTTAAATGGAAGCAACATATATCAAAATAACAAAGGCCAGTCGAAGTGGCTCCCGCCTGTAATACCAGGGCTTTAGGACACCCCAGGTGGAAGGATTGCAGCAGGGTCAATATAGTAAGACCCCATCTCTTCATAAAAAAAAAATAGCCAGGTGTGGTGTCTTGCCTGTAGTCCTAGCTACTTCAGAGGCTGAGGCAGGAGGATTGCTGAGCCCAGGAGTTCTAAGCAGCAATGAGCTTTGATAGTGCCATTGCACTCCAGCCAGAGTGACAGAGCAAGACTTTGTTTTTTAAAAAACAAAACAAACTATATGAGAACTGATGTGTATTTTATAAGAATTTTTAAACAATTGTGAAAGAAGGAAGAAACTAGAAAATTCACCCAGAGAAAGACCGAGCATGTAGAGATCTGAAAGCTGTAAGGAAAAGAATAGATTAAAATAGCTCAAGCAGTTTTGAACCAGTAGGTTATATCATCCTGGTGGTACTGACCTGTTTATCACCCTGTGAAATACATTGAGTGTCAGGAAAAGATGCCTCATTTATCTAAAAGTAGCTTTGATAAATGTAGGATTATCTTATAGTTCAGTTTTCTTAAGTGATAAGAAAGAGAGACTCACTTGTAACACAGTGTAGAAGTTGAAGCCAGGAATGCTGAATGTTCTGCAGCACTCAAGGAAACTCCACTAAGAAAAGGTCCCACGTGTTAATGGTGCTGAGACTGAGAAACCCTAATCTAATACACAGAATAAAGAGTTGAGAATAAAATTTTCTTTGTATTTAACAACCATCCGTGATTCTCAAATTACATACAGTAAAGAACAATGTTTTTGTTTTAATTTCCAATCCCTTATGGACCAATAACTTGTAAAATACACTGAAAATTTCATGGCAGTATCAAATTGCTATATACCGAACATTCCATTTCTGTACTTCTTGCTTCATTTTTATGCCCTTGTAAACAAACAAAAGATTTCTGTACTTCTTGCATATGGGTAGCAAATAATTTGTAGATTAGCACCAATCTGTGGACATTTTGAATAGCACTATTTAGAGCTTTTGTCTCTGAATATTCTGTAATAAACTTACATGATTTTTGAAATTAGGGAAAAGTTTAAAAACATTCATTGAGTATTTATGACATTTGGCAATAGGTAGTTGACTGGTGAAAAACAAATGCAAAATTTGTTAAAACTTATAAAATTAAAATATTTGCTTTTTGGTTTTGTTTTTATGTCAGAATATCTACGGAACATGTGTAGATAGGACAAAGTTGATAAGTCATTTGCTAGCATTTGCCTACTCACCATACCATACCCCAGGCTGATGGCTTCTTATGGAAGTACATCTTCCTGTGGATCCCAGACACTGCCTCAGAATCCTCCTTAACATAGTACTTAAAGAAGTCCTATCACTTTAAGGCAGTTGGTGTCAGATATGAAAGTTATCATCCTAAACTATGTTCTGAGAGTCTTTTGTATATAATACTGTCTTTATCTTAACCTTATGTTCTTTTAATGTTTTTTTTCAAACAATTCTTCTGATTTATCAAAGTAATTAAAAATCTCAAACCAAAACTTTTCATATGCTGGTTTCTTGTCTCAAGTATGCTATTCAAAATCTTAATTATGGTAAAAGAAATTTGTATCTTCCTTTTATTGCTGTACTGTGTTGAGAATGTGTCTTGGGCCAGGTGCGGTGGCTCATGCCTGTAATCCCCAGCACTTTGGGAGGCCGAGGCGGGTGGATCACCTGAGGTTAGGAGTTCGAGACCAGCCTGGCTGACATGGTAAAACCCCGTCTCTACTTAAAAAATGCAAAACTTAGCCAGGAGCGGTGGCGCGCCCCTGTAATCCCAGCTACTTGGGAGGCTCAAGTGGGAGAATTGCTTGTACCCAGGAGGCAGAGGCTGTAGTGAGCCGAGGTTACACCACTGCACTCTAGCTTGGGCAACAGAGCGAGACCCCCTCTCAAAAAAAAAAGAATGTATTTTAAACTGAAGGGAGACCCCCCCACCTCAAAAAAAAAAAGTACCTTAAACTTAACAGCACAGAATGTAACTTACTGTTTTCACTTACAGTAAGAGCAATCACTGATTTAGGGAAGGAAGAAAATCAAGTGACTATAAAGGTATACCTGGGTCATGTGTGTCGAAAGTAAAGTCTTTGAAGAACCATGACCTGTTTTGTTTGTTTTGTTTTGTTTTGTTTTTTTGGAGACAGAGTCTTGCTCTGTTGCCCAGGCTGGAGTGCAATGGCACAATCTCAGCTCACTGCAACATCCGCCTCCCAGGTTCAAGCGACTCTCCTACCTCCTACCAAGTAGCTGGGACTACAGGTGTGCACCACCACGCCCAGCTAATTTTTGTATTTTTAGTAGAGACAGGGTTTCACCATGTTGGCTTGGATGGTCTCAGTCTCTTGACCTCGTGATCCACCAGCCTCGGCCTCCCAAAGTGATGGAATTACAGGTATGAGCCACTGCACCCAGCCGTGATCTGTTTTTATATAACTTTTTAGTTTCTTTCATTCATTTCACGAATATTTGTTAACCACCATCTATGTGCCAGGCACCATTCTATATGATGAAGATTCATCAGAACAAAACAGATAAAATTTTTTGCCCCTGTTCAGAGATTACATGGATTTTTTTTTAAACAGCCTAAAAGACTCATTAAGGTGTCTAGACTTAACAGCACCGAATTAATATGTCACATGGAT